ATCCTTGAGTGTCAGTCGACTATTGGGTGTCTCTGAACATTCTTGGTTTGGAAGTCATATCTTGGTAATCGATTATCAAAGAGTGATAATCGACTATCCTACATCTCTGAACCTTGAAGTCCCAAAGTTTGTCAAGTCTTATTTTCCTTTCCTAAGTTTGGGTACAAGGCTGAAATTATTCCCTGAATTTCAACAAAGAATAAAGCCTTTTCTTTCATAAAACAAAAGCATAATCACTTTTGATACAAAGGAACAAAAATCACAAACAAAAGTCATTGAATGAATAGTGCTGTTTTGGCATTTTCATCACAAATATCAAAAGCTTGATTTCCCTTTGTTATCTTCATAAAGCCACGAAATTTCTACCTAAAAAGGACAAGGATTATTGGTCTTTTAATCCAAAAGAGATCAGCCATGAAGGACTTTTCACAACAAGATAAAATGGGAGCAAATGGCATGAGAAATAAGGAAACTTCCTCTTACTTTCAGTTTTGTTTTGTTGTATGTATTATTAGCTAAGTGTATTCCTTTCTAGTCTATATATATTCCTGTCATATGGTCATTGTAAGAACCAGATTATTGAATAAAAACTTCTTTGTTTTACTCTTTGAGTAATTCTTTAAAATAGTGTGATGCTATTTTAACCAAATTTCCTAATGAAATATCTCTAAAGTTGGCTACTTTTGAGTGCGTGTTCGGAGTCTAATTTTATACATTAGTAGTGATTATTAATGTGTAAAAGAAGATAAAAGCCCCAAGTTAAGATAAGAGTCTGTCATATCTCTTAACACCAACTTGGTTTATCCCTTCACTTTATTTCTGCCCATTTCATTCCTCACCATTTCTTCTTCTTAAACTTATTCTTTTCTCTCATTAAAAACACCAAAAAGAACTCTTTCCCACACTCCATATTTCACCCCCTCAATTCCATCATCCATTTCCTTCCGAAAATCCGCCACAAATTAGCTACTCGATAAGACCCCGGGTCCCGGGTACAACAATTATCAAATAAGCTTAATTGAAAATAACTGTAGTCAAACATTGTAAACCACAACGATAACCTTATTTTGGGATAAAGGGAGTATTTGGCTACCTGAGTGTGAGTTTTCTCCAACGCGTTTGGTATAGTATTGTGTCTTTCATTGTTATCACTTTGTGTTTAGATATATGCTTATAATATATTTATACACACACACACACATGCATACATACATACATGCATACACACACACATATTATATATATATATATATATATATATATATATATATATATATATATATATATATATATATATATATATATATATAAGAGGTGAGAATAATGGACTACGAAAGAAATTAGAATAAATAGTATTCGTTAGATTAAAAAGATCTACGTCTAAAAAATGTTTATTGGAGAGTTGACCTAAGAGTTTAAAGAAGGAATGTAATAAATGAAATGCAAAAAAAAAACAGGAACATAGTGCTGCACGATTAGGAGATAGGGGCATAATCGTCTTGAGTGAGCATGAATCAGTTCTGTGTCCATTATCTCTGCAATTGTGCGGTTTCCTGTTATACAAAGTATTATATTATAGTATTAATTTAAATTTTGAAGCATTGTCAATTTTATTCATAACTTTTCGTACATAAGTCCATCGTTGACTAATAATATGCTGTTGGAAGTCTCTCATGGAGATCTATCCAACAACACCAACTTTGAATATAAAATATCGATATTATCTTCTTCTCACATTTTAAAGTAAGAAAAATAAAATTTGTATATACTTTTTAATGTGAATGCACTGTGATATCTGATATATGCATTGCGTTTTGTCCGTTAAATTTTATTCAAATTGTATTCTTTTTTTTAGCATTCAAAATGCATTCTATTAGCTTGTGAGTTAGTGACCCCTTAATGGTGACTTTGTATGTGATGAGAAAGCCTAAGGGTGTGTTGTATACTTGTATTCATAACAGATGTAATACGAATTTGTATGCAGAATTCAAACTCACATCCGTATTACTTACTGCTCAACCATTTGAACTAATAAGCAATGAGTTGTTTTCAAAGATACTCTTAACTTGCCCTTGGAAATATTAAATACGCATCTTAACCTTTTAAAATTGGCATCATTCGACTTGTTTCCAACTCATACTCAACTGTATCACATGACATTTTAAATGCATCATCGTTTGCAGAAAATTTAGTATGTACCCTTTATTAGCTTGATTCTGTGAATGTATTCTTTCTTCATGTAAATACATAACCTTGTTTTGCATACATCGTATTCTCTTCAATCCAAGAGCGACATTAATGTTCTGCATTGGGTTAAAGAATTGTTTATATTGCTCTAGAAAAATATAGACACACACACACGGACGGACCAACAGCAAGCACAGTAAAATCCCACAAAAAATGAGGCATGGGGAGGGTGTGAGGGTGTGCGTACACAAACCATCCCCCTACTCGAAAGTGATGTTGTGTGTGTGTGTACGCATGCAGATTGTTAACCATTAGAACGTATGCACAGTAGGGTTTTTCACTTATTGCCATTTTTATTAGCAATCTCTTACTCAAACAAATGACCAACATGCAAGGAAATATAGATGAAGTGTCTATGAAAGCTTTTCTTTTTTGCAGGCAAAAAGGAAACCTCTAACCTTCAGAAGTACAAAGCATGATAACCAGCTTCTCTGGAACCCTGGTGCTTTTCTCTGGCAAGATGAAAATATAACTTTCAATGATGATGACCAGTCACAGGAGTACTGGGAGGAGTTGCTTCAGCATTGTCAGCCCATAGAAAATTTTCTTGAGTGGGAAAGCTCTGCAAATGAATGTAAATCAAAGTTGTTCTGCTCTTTAGCTGCTAATAATTCTGAAAATGCAGATAGTGATGATGCAGATAATGGTCTCGACAGTGACTTTTCTAATGAGTACGTTGTCCCAACAAACTTGGTCGACAGATGGGGAGATGCAATGGGTATCCTCCTTTATCAATTCTATTACATTTAATTCTTCTAATCACTTGCTCAGTCATTTATTTGAAATTTCAGATATTGTTTTTCCATATTCAAAACGTTGTTGCTGCTTTACCAAAAGTTATTATCGATATGTCAAGGGAACAGGTTCCCTTTTGGCAACTAAACAGGTGTGTTCAAAACTTAAAATCATTACTATTGGCCTTTGCTTGAAATTATGCTACTGAAATTTGTAGTTTACATAAATCTCATTTATATTGTGCACTAAAATTAGCTCATAATGGGATTAAACGTGCAGCCGTTGCAACTATGTTATGCTCCCTCCATCTCATAATTTTCTTCTAGGTTTGACTTGACATAATTTTTAATAAAGTGGAACTTGTGCTATTGTGACTTGTGTAGAGGAAAGACAAATTTTATGGACCATACAACTTTTTCCTTAAAAGGAAAGTGGAAGAAAATTTTGGGACAAACCAAATAGGAAAGCAAGAAGATAGTTTTGGGGCAGAGGGAGTATCTTATGATATTGGCTTAGTTGGCTAGCAGCCTAGCACTCTAGCAACAAAGTTGCTTGAGGCTTTGAGTGCTCCCCCTATATTTCTAATTTTTTTTGAACAACTGGTGTTTGGATTAAGTTTCTTGACAACTCAGGTAAGTTACCCCTTCCATCCTATAATATTCTTCCCAAACTGAACAGGTACAAGTATTAAAACAACTAATAAATGCCATTGACCTTCCCAAGATACCCTTTTGGTGCTTCAAAAATTTACAGTGGTAAAAAATGGCAACACAAATTTTTTAAAAGCACTAACACACTAACACTGCATTTAGAAGCAAAGAAAGAAAGCATATCATTTTAGTAATAGTACTAAGTAAACCAAACAACATGGATTTTTCTTTCCCCCACCCCACTAACACACTAACACTGCATTATGTCTATTTATATTTTATAGGCTTCACTACACTACAATTTCCACATTTTGAAAAGCTCCAAAGCTTTTGCAGCTCTTAAATCCAAAAAATCTTCTCCATTCTTCTCCTCCTGCCATGTCTTCTGCACCAGTAGACTGATCTGCAGAAATTGAAGAGGTATATGAAAGCCAAACATTAAGAGAAGAACAATAAAGTTAAGCAACACTGAAAGGCAAAACATAGTATATGAGATTTTATTGCATGCAAAGACCCAACTCGGTGGACAGTATGCAGTTCAGATAATCAATAATCTAGCTTCTGACTACACCCTAGAGCTTAATGGCAGCAGCAAGTGCGAATGGTATCAAAATTACCCTTGGTAACAAGCCCTTTAATTCTCTAGACCTCAACATACTAGACCTGGGGTTCTTTAGGGCTATTCAATCATTAGAGTAACAATCTGCCCCTAAGAATGAAGATGATAATCATGATATAACCAAAGGCAGTTCAAGATGCTTATGATCAACTATCATCTCACTCTCTAAACAAGGTATACTTGATCTGTCAATATGTGATGCAAGAGATGATGAAAGTTGGATGGGAAAGCAACTACAAGCTACCACACATGGCAAAGTATAGGTATGCAGGGGAGAATAGGGTACCCTTTGTTGTACAGCTTGATCCAGGTGCATATGAAAGCAGTTAAGCAAGAATGACCCAACATTCATGCCAAACAGAAGAAGTGTTGGGTATGCATGAAGACAATTTTGGTGAATTATTAATGAAGATGAAGAAGACATCCATGATCCATCTTGAAGCTTGAACTGAACTCATTTTTTTTGTTTTGTTTTTGCTTTTCGGTTTGGCTTTTGGGTATGCAGGAATAAAGCCAAAGGTTCACTATTTTTTGGCTTTGGGGTAAGCTGGACTGGAATAAAGCAAAATGGCTCTTTAAACTGGGTATGCGCCTCTTTTAATAGTGAAGTAGTAGTTAGTCAATGCAACTTTCAACGGCCATCATGCGTCATCCGGAAACAACCGCTCTATGTTTTAAACATAGGGGTTACTGCTATTTCTACCGCTACTAGGAGCATTTCAGTATGTCATCATAGCATGCTCAATCAAGCACAGTGCACACGACACAATAGAGCACAGATTGGAGATAAATTTTTTGGGTCTGTCTCTTCATTGGTGGTAATCCTATTTACTATGTACAAACACAAGAGTGCGTGTTATTGCAATATCGTGTTTTACAGCAGAGTGTAGGTCCATGGCCCTGATTGCATGTGAACTCATTTTGCTATAGCTTTATTTTAAGAATTAAGATACTGCAAAGTATACTCCATGAAATTAACACTCCCTCTTTACAACAACAACAACAACATTACCGCAATGCCTCAAAGGCTCCCGCCTATTGCGGGGTAAGTGGGAATCATATGTACGCTACGCAACCTGACCCTTATGTTTAAAACTAAAAGTGCCTGTTTCCAAATGACCCACGATGAGTGTTGAAAGTTGCATCGATCAATAGCTACTTCACTATTAAAAGAAGTGCAGATAGTTGAAATAGTCATTTTGCTTTATTAACCACTATCGATCATTCCTGGCCATAGTTGCCACGGTGCCAAGTCGAGCCGTGGTGCTAGGGTATCTCCAAGACACCTAGTCGACTAGGCAACCGCCTTGGCTACAATTAGGCGACACATAATATAGGAGAATTGCTATACGTTAAAAAGACTAATATAAATATATCACATTATATATTGTAGTTGATAAAGTTTAAAATTTTCTAATGCAGCAAAGTTTAACAACCAAAGTTACTTTTAGGTACTTTCCTAAAAAAACAAAGTTGAAAAAGAAGCATTACTGACTTAAATTGAAAATAAATTAATCATTTAACATTTTAAAAAATTAATCACTGAGTATTAATTAGGAAGATAACATAGAAAAAAACATTAAATTGAAAATAAACTAATATGTGAAGTACTAGAGTCGGGGGTATAAATTACTTAAAAAAATAAAGCACCAGACTAAACAAAATAAAAAAAATTAAAGCACTAGACTAGGCAAAGTATGCATAACAAGACAAGGCGAGCTCTCATGGCAAGAGTAGAAGGGCGCCAGGACGCCTAGGCGACGCCGTGAGATCTATATTCCTGGCTCAGCTTCGATAATGCAATTCCTGGAGGAGTCAGTAGTTGGGCACTGGATCCCTTCGGACCAAGAGAACGCTTGACGCTAGGTCGGGGTTTGGTGAACCAACGAGTTGCTCCTCTAGTTGATGTATTGGGCCCCTTTTTCGTTGCCTAGGTTTACACCTTTGGAATACCCTAGAAAGGATTTTGATCTACTCCCCCCATTCTTCCCTCTATGCCACACACCCTCCTAGACCTTACGCTTGTGAGATTCAACTAGGTTGTTGTTGTTGTTGTTGCATCATACCCCAAAGCAAAAAAAATAGTGATTATTTGGCTCCAGCGGTTTAAAAGAATTATATTCTTTCCTTTTTAGGCGTACCCACAATAAATTTCACCTTTCCTTTTCAGGAAATGAATACATGGCCAATCCATACTTTTCTTTAGTTTATAGATAAATCTCAATGGCTCAACTACACAACTATAATTTTTTAAACTCCGTGCAAAATGTACTTGTGGCTTTTTTAGGGACGGAGGGTGAATGTGACAATCAAGCACTTCTCCACGTTCCCTTCAATCTTTGTTGTCATATTATACTGGATAAAGTTCTATCTACGAAGGAAATCAACATGGTCTTCGTTGCCATCCTTTTTTTCATGAAAGAACTACACATATTGAAGTTGACTCTCATTTTATACGGTTTGGGATAGAGTTTGTCTTAGAGAAATCATCACATCATTTATCATTCCAGTGACAAACTTGTAGATGTCTTCACCAAATACCACAGACAAATCCTACCAAGGACATGCTCTCTTCACCAAATAGATGTATCACGACTGACTCTTTATTGTCTGATTTGTAACCGGTTTGATTTGAACTTGAATGTTTCTGATATTTTCTGATTTTTTTCCTGATCACTAATCTGGCTAATTGGAGATGGCTATTTTAGTCCCTCAAAAACTACGTATTAAATTCGTCAGATTCAGATCAAAATGTCTACAATTATATGAGAGGACTAAAGCGTATATTTTACTTCTATATATGGGTTAATTATTTACCACATATTTCTTTGTCGAATACAGGGAAATATAAAAAGCAAGGCATCGTTGAAGGATCTCTGCCTTAGATACTTCACCCCGAGGGAGGTATGTGCTCTTGAAACCACGATTTGTTTCCTACTACCACGATGACAAATTGAATACACATGTCTTAGTTCTTTTGTTACTGTGAAGGTTGCAAACTTGCATTCCTTTCCAGCAGATTTCAAGTTTCCCCAACACGTGAGCCTCAGACAGCGGTATTCTTGTTTTTCACTCTAACTTTGTTCAGTTGTTATAACAAAGGCAGATAAGTGCATGACACTTTTGGTGTTAATGTATTTTAGTTCTCACACCTGTGGTCTGTAATATGATCTTTTGTATGTGTCCAGGTATGCCTTGTTTGGTAATAGTTTAAGCGTGGGCGTTGTTGCTCCTTTGCTTCGATATTTATTCATGGAGGCCCCCACTCCCATGACACACTAGACGAAGTCCAACGATAAAAGTGCAAAATGTTTTAGTCTTCCAAGTGTGCCCTTTTCACAAATGCTTGATATAAAAGGTATGAAATCAACCTTGTATCTGATCTCCATTACATTATAATGTTATCAATTTGAATGGGTGTCCTTGATACAGAGCTCTGTACTGTTCTTGCACTCAAATCTCAATAGAATATGTAATTTTTGAGGGTTCGTTGTAATGGGGAGGGAGGAATGGAGGACACAGCAAGTTCTTGCATTGAAGCTGTAAGGGGCAGGTTTTTTCTATAGATATGCTTTTTTCCCCTCGTTTTTATGTTGTCTGCATTGGCTTCAGATCCTAGCTATTATTGTAAAGCGATTGGGAAAATATAAAATATGATTTCATTCCTGCAAAAAATAGTACCTCCTCCCCCTCTAAAAGATTTTTCTCATTTTTTTCGTTCTAAAAAGTCTATCTACTTTTTATTAAAAATCACTTTTACCCTCATAAATTTTTATCCTACCTATTACGTAATGTGTCATATCTATTCACTACTAGTTTATCGATTATATCTTATTTTTATATCACAACAAGTCTAATTTGAAAAAGTTAGAAAAATATTTCAGTCTTAAATTCCATAAAAGTAAAAAAAGAAACAGTTATTGGGAGTATATTTTTGTCATTTTCATCATTATGCATTATATATGGGACAAATTCCATAAAATCATTATTCCCTCTGTTTTCATAGCTTTTATGTAAAATTTTGGTGGTTTTAAAATCTTACACCAACCTCTCTCTGACCATTTTCCGATCATCTTCTAGGTGCAAGGTTTTGAAACTAATGAGATTTTAGAAATAAATTTAAAAACAGAGGAGGTGGTAGTGTCTATTTTCCAAGTTACACGAGGTATTAGAGCTATTTGGCCATTATATATAATGATTTACTCCATTTGTCCATTAAAAATGCTTTTTTATTTAACCGGGCACACACATTAAGAAAAGCAAAAATTTTCATTGACATTCCAACTTTAGTGGGTACTCCGTGGATAAAGTAAAAGAAAAGAGTGGAAAGTTATTGATTGGATAGATAATCATTACAAATCTAAAAGTACAACACTCCATGCTTCATTACACAACATTTTAATTGCCACTAACTCAAAATTTCCCACCCAAATTCAACCCTTCCTAGGTTTTAAATACTAGCTTTCCATTTTTAGAATGCTAAACATTTCCTTCTTCACTGCAACCTTCTTCCTTTCTCAGATTCTTTGTTCTTGCCATGTGAGAATCTTTTTCCTACCTTCTTTCTCTTCGTACTACCTGGACGATACCTAAGTACCGTACTGGTACCCAAATACCAGACTAGGTACTGTCTGGTACCACTGTGTTGTTTCCAACCCTATTCTGAGACTTTGTAGATTACAAGACGGTAAGCATGAGTGTTCACACCTAGCACTAGGCCGATGTTTGATCATGTTTGGTTGTGTTGGATATGATTATGCCTATTATGAAAATTATGCAATTGTGAATGTAATGTGACAGTTGAAGTAATATATATCTCTAGAGGAATTCTAAGATTTGACCTGAACAGAATAGAGGCAAGATAGGCCATATGTATAGAAAGATTAGAGTCATGTGGTACCTGCTGGGTCCAATGGCTATTCGGGTACAAATATGCACACGGGAATCTATGAACTATTGTTCCAAAGGGGATAGGGATCTCACCTACCCAACAATGAACTCCCGAGTTGGTTGAGCTTGATCTTCGTTCCGGAGGAAAAGGTCTTGACTCCAATAAGCTAGTTAGTCTTAGTATAAGCCTTAATCTAGAGTATGTTATGAGCCTAGTTAAATGACTAGAGTAAAGAGAGTCTAATATCTTGTGTTGTGAGAATGTTTGTTACTTTATAATGTATGTAATGTTGTTATGTGATGATTATATGCATGATATTGTGTGATAATATGAACTAGTGAGGTCGTCTATACGTATAACCTTAATAAGCTTCAATGCTGAGCGTGTATCGTTTATTCTTTTACTGCACGTTGGTAATCAAGATCATGATGAACCTGGAATCAATCCTGGAGGGCGATGGGGACGAAGAGATGTGCGTGGATGCGATTGAAGAATTGAATTGTTATTTATTACTACCTCCGTTTCTCAAAACAATTCCCCTTTTGACTTAGGGGAAGAATAAGGAAGTGTTAAATTGTAGTTGACTTTCCAATTTTGCCCTTGATGTGATGGTTTAGTTGTTAGTGAAAAAGTATGATGTAATAGGTAGGGTATGAAAAAGTAGGGGTAAAAGTGGTTTTTTAATAGAAAAGGGAAGTGTTTTAAGAAAAATAAAAAAAATGAAAGAGGAAGGGTTTTAAGAAACGGAGGGAGTATTTAAATACTCACTACTTTACGGGCCCCAAGTTTTGTTTTGAACGACTTAAGATTCTGCACTGTTTTTAATTACTCCGATGAATGCTTGAAATTATATTTTGAAGTATTTATTTTAAATTGTTTTGAATCCGGTTCGTTGATTCATGTATTCGTGTTATGCGAGTTGGAGTGTTTTAGTTCCTATACAACCGGCTATAGAATATAGGCACTTGAATATCAATAACAAAATAATACCTCAATTCAAATCAAATTAGAGTAGATCTCATTCATTCAAATCAAGATCATGATGAACCTGGAACCAATCCCGAAGGGCTATAGGGACGAAGAGATGTGCGTTGATGGGATTGAAGAATTGAATTGTTATTTATTATATAAATACCCACTACTTTACGGGTCCCAAGTTTTGTTTTTGAACAACGACTTACGCTTCTGCACTATTTTTAATTACTCTGATGAATGCTTGAATTATATTTTAATTGTTTTGAAAATGAGTTGTGCTTGAATACGTAATTTAGTAGCAAGCCGGTTCGCTGATCCATGTATTCGTGTTATGCGAATTGGAGTGTTACAGTTCCTATACAACCGGCTATAAAATATAGGCACTTCAATATCGATAATAAAATTATACTTCAGTTCAAATCATATTAGATTAGATATCATTCATTCAAATGACTTCATTTCAAGTTAGAGTCATTAATATCATACAATCAACTTTAAAAAATTCATATTAGATTAATGACCTGCTTGTGAATAACGTTAGAGGTTAGCATTAACATTCTGGAAAGACAATTTACGGGCAGTGTTTAACGTTAGCATTTTCAAAATTAATCTGCATCATAAAAAACTTTATCCAAACGCTAACTCGAATTGAAAATGTTATTTCCAAATGTCCCTAAATAAGTTCTTACGAATTAGAATACTTTGGGAAAAGAAAATGCTAGGGGTACACTAAAAGCTGTACTCCAAATATCCACACCCCTTCCATAACCACAAAAATTTGCATGTAAAGTTCAAAAATAAATAACTAAATAAAAATGAATGGTAAAAAGGCATGAGGTGTACATTTGGGGTACACCAAAGGTACCTGGTGTACCCCTAGCATCTCCTTTTGGGAAAACATGATCTGTGATCTTGGTTTGAATAAATTTCATAAAAAGTCTTCAGTTATAGCAGGTTTTTCATATTTAGTCCCTACATATCAAATATCAATAATTTAGCCCCCAATTAGTTTATTATTTTCCACGAATGGTCCTTTGTTAACATTTCTGTTAAGAACGTGGATAGAATTGTAAATTCACCGCTCTCTCTCTCCTCAATTATCTTTCTCCATGCCCTCACACTCCTTTCCCAAACTCGTCACTGAGTTTGAAGTTTTGAACCCAAAATCGAAATCATCACTCCTCTCTCAATTATTCGTCTTCCTCGTGGAACCCTAAACCAAAATCAGTCACCTTCATGGATGAGTTTTAAGATTTATTTTTTTTGTAATTTTTGAGACTAACTCATAAAACTTAGCCATGAAAGTTTTTGGTTTCGATTTTGGGTTACACCAGGAAGATGAACAATTGAAAGGAGTAAATTCTATAATTGGTCCTTTATAACATGGGGGTTTCTCTAATTAGTCCTCTATTATCAAATATTATCCAAGTGGTCCTTCTTTTATGGGTATCTTTCCACAAATAGTCCTTTTTTGATCTTCTTATCATGTTGGTGTTAATTTCAGAGTTAAAAGTGTAATTTCACAATGATAATATATCTTTTTTGTCATACACAATTTCAAAGGCTGTTCTGTATGCGTCGTTTGTGAATTACAGTCGCTTTCTACTACAACCATAGTCTACAAATATGGTCTTTCGTCAAAACCCTAGCCCACAACCATAGTCATTATTTTTGTGTTATCCGCTTAACCAATATCAGAACACGTCACTAAACATAATGTTGATGTCAAATTATACTTTTAGCATTTAAATTAACACCAACACGACAGAAGATTAAAAAAAGGACCATTTGTGGAAAGATACCCTTAAAAAAGGACTACGGGGGTAATATTTGATAATAGAAGACTAAATATGGAAACCCTCCTATTATAAAGGACCAATTATGGAATTTACTCAATTGAAAGAGAAGTGATCGTTTTTTTTAAGTTTAGAGCTTCAAACTCAACGACGGATTCGGGAAGGAGGGATGAAGCTCAATTGAGGAGAGAGAAGTTTGAATATACAATTTTATCCATATTCTTAACGAAAATATTAACAAAAGACCATTCATAAAAAACAATATAATAATTAAGAACTAAATTATTGATATTTGATATGGAGGGACCAAATAAATTAGTAGACCTTTGATTGGAATTTGCTAGTTTCGATTCCAAATTGGAACTCTGTCCCCCGTCCACCATTGTAGATCTGACAATTTTGGACCAAAACTTATTCATGATTTCATGAAGAAATGGGTTCGCCCGTTTGGGATGCGACCTATGAGCGGCGCATTATTTGGCTGTTTTTCTCAAGGTTTCCCCTCCATCAATGAAATCCTTAAACCATTCCTCACCCATTCGTCAATGCCTGCACAGACTCCATTACAGGACCGCCTTCTTTTCTTCTTCTTTGTCTTCTTCACGGCCACCTCCTCAACACCCATTCTTGAGTACGGATTGCTCAATTTCCACGGAGGAAGTTGGCGAGGTTCCCCACCCATTCTCGTCCGAGAAGAGCGACTCTCAAGTGTCGCAGGGAGAAACCACCAATACTTTTAGGGATCCATGTAACTCATCAAGCCAACCTAGTTCTGAAAATAGTGAAACCCGTTTGGTAGAAATCCTCCTGGGCCACAGGGACGACCCTGAATCTGCGTTTAAGCATTTTAAACATGGTCTGGAGCAGGTGGATTTTCAGCGGGGGAGCGGGGTGCCTCTCTATGTTTTGCTTCATATTTTGGTATGTTCCTCTGAGCACCAGCATATGGCTAGGAGTTTGATTTTAAAACACGTTCTTGAGGATTCTGGCCCGACTCGTCTTGTATTTGATAGCCTTGCTGACTGTGCCAAGAGATTCAGTTTTGAGTTGAGTCCTGTTGTTTTCAATGGTTTGCTCTATAGCTTATCTAAAGCTCGTCGTCTGTTAGATGCTATTGATTGCTTTAAGGGTATGTTGGATCATGATATATTGATCCAGCCCTTCCTTATTGGTAAAGTCTTAAAGATGTTAGTCCGGAATAAAATGATCCGGGAAGCTAAAGCTCTGTTAAGTGATGCTGTCTGTAGAGGGATTGCATATGGTACTTTTACAGTACGTTTAATGATGCTTGCTTGTGTAAAAGAAGGCGATGCCGAGCTTGCTGAGAGGTACTTTTTAGAGTCCAAGGCTAGTGGAATTACGCATAATGAAGCAACATACAGTGTTGCTGTACACACTGCTTGTAGATTGGGAAAAGCGAATACTGCCATTGCATTGCTGAATGAGATGAAGGAGAAGAGTTGGGTTCCTTCCGAGGGAACATACACAAATGTAATTTGTGCTTGTGTGAAGCAAATGAATATGGTTGATGCATTAAGGATTAAAGATGAGATGGTTAGTTGTGGCCGATCAGTAGGATTGGTGGTTATGACAAGCTTAATGAAGGGATATTGTGTGCAGGGTGATGTAAGCAGTGCTTTGGGTTTGCTTGATCATGTTGTTGAGGGTGGATTAAGTCCAAACAAGGCCACTTATGCAGTTCTGATCGAAGGCTGCTGTAATAAGGGACATATTGAAAAGGCACTAGAATTACACACTCAAATGAAACTTGCTGGCATTCAGCCATCCGTGTATACCGAGAATTCTTTACTTAGAGGGTTCCTCAAAGCTAACTTATTGGATGAAGCAACTAAACAGTTTGAGCAAGTGGTTGCCACTGATGTTGCCAATGCCTTCACATACAATGCAATGTTGTCGTGGTATTGCAAAAAGGGCAAGACAAAATAAGCAGAAGGTTTATGGGACAAGATGGTGAACAAGGGAGTTGTGCCCACTATAGTCTCATATAACAACATGATCCTTCTCAACTGCAGAAGTGGAAATATGGACAAAGCATCAACTTTATATTCCGAGCTGAAAAATCACAATACAAAGGCTAATGAAGTCACATATACCATTTTAATTGATGGGCATTTCTGTAGAGGTGATACCGATCAAGCACTGGAAACATTTGACAAAATGCTTGCTTCAGGGATTGCTCCAACAGACTACACACTCAACTCCATCATAAATGGTTTGTGTAAAGTCGGGAGAACATGTGAGGCAAAGACTAGGCTTAATATGTTCACAGAGAAGGGTCTAGACCCGAGCTGCATGGCGTACAACGCTGTTATTAATGGTTTTCTAAAAGAAGGGTCAGTTGATTCAGCTATAGCTGCTTATACAGAGATGTGTGAACATGCGATTTCCCCAAGTGTTGTCACATATACCTGTTTAATTAATGGATTGTGCGAACACAATAACATTGATCTAGCTGTTAAACTGTTGAATGAAATGAGGGCCAAAGGTGTTGAATTGGATATTGTTACATACGGTGTCCTTATTGATGTCTTTTGTAAAAGAAGAGACATGAAAAATGCAATGGAACTCTTTGAAGAACTGCTTGGAGTCGGTCTATCGCCCAACATAGTTCTGTATAACAGCATGATTAGTGGGTATAGAAATGTTAACAATATGAAAGGTGCACTAGCCGTGTACGAACGGATTATAAAGGAGGGAATCCCATGTGATTTGGAGACATACACTACCTTGATTGATGGGCTGCTAAAGGATGGGCAAATAGTTCTTGCATCCAATCTCTACACAGAAATGCTTTCGAAGGGTATAACACCTGACGAAATTACATACACTGTGCTGGTACAGGGTCTTAGCAATAAAAAGCAGGTGAAGAATGCTCAGAAGGTATTTGATGATATGCGGAAAAACAAGGTGACTCCTAATGTTCTTATTTACAACACACTAATTGCTGCATACTTCAAGGAGGGGGATATTCAAGAAGCCTTTAGGTTGCATGATGAGATGCTTGATCAAGGTCTAGTACCTGATGATATGACATATGATATTCTTGTTAGAGGAACACCAGAACGTAGCTCAGTCAATGATTGACACTTTATGTATTTGATAGACAAAAAATATGGCACATAGCCTATACCATTTTTGTAACTATGCTAATTGACATGAGAGGTTCTCCTATGCAGTTGGTTGGTATGATGATATTTTCACTTGTCGTATTACTACTCTATTTTGCTGAATTCTTGAAGACTGCTGTGAAATGTGTGATTTTATTACACTAGTTATTCTCCTTTAATTCAATACTAGTAATTAAAACTTTCTTCTATGGCATGCCAGACAGTGAATCATATTTTTGGCCTCTCAGTGGTTTGGACTTATATCTTCTCCAGAGTTCTTTGGCACTTTATTAATCTCTTATAATTAAAGAAGAAAAAACATTCTTTCGTGAAAATGGGTTAACAACTAAATAATTCCCCAAGTTTCTAATTTTTACTACTCTTAACACACACATGTGTGTGTGTATACACACACACACATGTATAAAGCTGAGCAGTTTAATTATGGTAACGACATGTGTCATGCCACATGGGATTTTTTTACACTTATTTGGCAATTCTGTGCTGACTCACGAGGCCACTTATATTTTTGGTGTTTTGGCTTTTGAGAGGCCATGCGTTTCTTTTCGCTTTACTCCCCGTCTTGGCCTTGTGTTTCCTGGAGAACGAACTGGTACATCCCATTGCACTCTTCATCTCCAATGCAAAGCTTCAATTTATTTGTTATTTCTGTATAAGTTTATTATAAACTTATTTCGTTGATGTTCATCTGGTTATTGCGCTCCTTTTCATTGGTGGAATTGATGGATGTCATCCTGAGTGAGATAGACCTTCCGATTGATCTTCTTCTGTTTTTCTAGGATTTGAATATGGATTTCCAAAGCCTGGCTATGATTCTTCGAGGTGCTCTTAGTTACAATTTTGTTGAACTTAAGGCTGCGAGGAAAACCCCAATCAGGTACTTAGTGAATTTGTAGATTTTGTTCTGATCATTTTCCCTAAAGTAAATCCTAACCAATAAATTTTATTCATTTATTGTGATTTCTTTCATTCCTCAAAATGCTTGATTTTTTTTTTGTTTTAAAATTTGCATTTCAACCACAAATTGGTTGAAATCCATAGGCAGATGATGATAAATAAGACAAATCCCTATGCTGATATTTTTCATGATAATGTTGAGGAAGTTAGCAAAATAAACAATGATATGGAACTGGATTCTCTGCCATCGTAATACGTTCTATACTTTTTCTGCTCCATTATGTCTTGAACTTTTTCATTAGGGTTATTATTGTTTTCATTTCTAACTTCCTCTCTATTGTTTAGTGGTTGTGCAAGCATAAGTCACTTATAGGTTCGTAGCTCATTTGTTTTTTATTGCTCATTTGAATATTTATTTTAAAATTTGACTCTTATTGTGGTATATCAAGTCTCTTAGGGCACTGATGGGAAAAGGGAACACTTGAGTCTCTCTTTCTCCAAGCAATATATTTCAATTCTCATGGTCGTAATCCAATCTCTCTCCTTCTATTCAACCATTTTTAATTTCATCATCCATTCATCCTTTCCCATTTTCATTTTCTCAAAATTATTCTTTCTTTCTTTCCTCTACCTTTCACCTGTTTCCTCTTTTTAATTGGTACACCAGCAATCACTGATTGAGAGATCAGAGCTACTCCTCCTTTCACACAACAATAAAAGTGAAGTGACTGGTAAATATAATAGAGGAGTTCACTTTTATTACATTGTTGAATTAAATTAGAGCAGAGCACGTGGCAATATTTTATGATTTTAACCACAGTTGAGTATGATAACTTCATTCACTTTTTCCCAGGCTGATAAGAATATCAGCCTCAACAAAAAATACTCCCTCTGTTCCTGAGTATTTGTCCACTTTTGACTTTTTTCGGTCAAAATTGGTAAAATTTGACCTCAAATTAAATAAAAATGATATTAGATATTGATACAAAAAGAGTTTTCTTAGATTTATTATATCAAATATTTTCAAAATATTATTTTATTTTATTAAAATACAATATATATTTTATTTAATTATTGGTCAAAGGTTGAAAACAGTTGATCGAAAAAAGTCAAAACTGGACAAATACTCAGGGACGGAGGTAGTATTAATTAAATGGCAGAAGAGCCATCATTGTATATCCAATGTATGGGCTGCCAATCTTTTTCTTAAAAAGAATTATTTTTAATCTTTCAGTTGAATGGTAGTTTTATTTGCCTGATGCTCACTCATATATTCATTTCAATTTTCAATATTGTTTATACATGTCACTAGACTCACTACAGTCCTTTCAAACCAAAGATACAGAATTCAATAATCTTTTATACGAATCCAGGTATACATCAGGCATTTTTTGAAAATGTTATACAAATTTCGATAATTTAATTGTTTCACTTTAAATTCTTTGTGTCACTTAGAATTGTTTCACTTTAATATTCAGTAATCCTATATATTGCATGTATTCATGAAGTGTTTGATGCCAAGTTTGTTAAAAAACTTTATTACTCCGAACCCATATCAAGGCTCAAATGTGTGTGCTATAACACTAGTTATAATGTTCTTTGGCAGCTCAATACCAATTTTATTTGGTTTGAAAAGTATTCCTTCCTCATTTTCTCCTTTTCCAACCCAATGATGTTTCGCTTTGCAACTTCTATTTGTAGTTTGATTCTGTTTGTTTTTAAGAGCCTAAGGTTTGGCCAAAGAGTTAAATTTTACCAGAAAAAGTCAAAAGAAATAAATAAAACCTGGCTACCAATCCATAATTTCATATAGTTGTTTCAGTAAAATTTAGTCCAAATGTCATACACTAGTAAGCTGACTGCATTCTCAAGTTATATGAACATGCAACCTTTCATTTTCCCTTGATTTTCACAATATTTAAAACTGACAGAGTTCAAAAGCTGTACGAATTAAGATGAAACTGCTTAAGGGCTTGCAAGGTTTAAATCATGTGAAAGATTGGATTAAACACAGAGGTAAAGCAGTCACAGGGAGTCATTCCACAATTGGGAAATGCTGAGTTATATTGGGAAGGTTACTGCTCCAGGTACCAAAACTTATAGAATATGAAGTCTTCATGTCTTTAATTACGCCCAAAAAAGACAGAACCGATACAAATATCACTGTAATGTAGTTCCTAGAAACAGTTCCCAAAAATAAGGATGTAGTTCCCAGAAACAGTTGCTTCCCCTATTGTTTTAAAACTTTTTATTTTGAAGATTGCTAATTCTCAGTTTTGAGTTGGCCATGCCGAAATTAGATTATTTTAAAATATTAATGTTTGGTTTTGGCAGTTTTTTGTTATATCTTAAATATCCAATATAGTTGTAGAAATTAGGAAGTAGTTCCCAGAAACAATTACTTCCCCCATATATTGTTTTTTAGTTTTTAGTTTTGACTTTTGAAGATTGCTAATTTTCAATTCTGAGGTGGCCATGCCTGAATTTAATGTTTAAAAATATTAACAATAGATTTTGGAAGTTTAATGTTATATCTTTAAATAATCAATATTGAATGTGTGCCTAGGAGGTATTTTTCATTTTTGGAATCTGAATTCCAGCTTTTAAATGGATTTATATGTGTGTGTGTGTGTGTGTCTATATATATATATATATATATATATATATATATATATATATATATATATATTAAATGTATTCATGAAGTGATTGATGCCAAGTTTGTTAAAAAACTTTATTACTCCGAACCCGTATCAAGGCTCAGATGTGTGTGCTATAACAGTAGTTTTAATGTCCTTTGGCAGCTCAATACCAATTTTATTTGGTTTGAAAAGTACTCCTTCCTCTTTTTTCTCCTTTTCCAACCCAATAATGCTTTGCTTTGCAACTTCTATTTGTAGTTTATTCCGTTTTTTAAGAGCCTAAAGTTTGGTCAAATTGTGGCAGGTCTGAGGATGAAGATTCAATGTTGTACATAAATCTTCGTGTCTCTGTTTTTTGTTTGGTGATGACGTTGGAGGCTATAGATACAACTGCTTTTGGGGTCTGAATGCCGACTGCCATGCTGAGAGTTACTCCGTAGCTGCTAAGCCTTATGAAATAGTGAAATTGATTACTTCACAGTGCTTCCTCTTCCCCTGTAATGTATGATTGCTCCCCTATGCAGTGCTTTTCCATTTCCATATTCCTCTATATGGAATCATAGTTCGAGTGCTCACTGTATCAGTTGAGATATTCTGCAAACTATGGCCGTGTTTGGAGTCTTATCTAAATGTTTTAAATCAATGGCAGGGAAGAAATTGCATCTACACTGGAAGAATGGGAGTATGTTTTTGGCATTTAGATTGAACTGGTATTTTCTGCTCTATTCTTTTTTCTGCTCATGGCTGGATCACTGTTCAATTGTTCATCAGGGGCCTCCTCCTGTGGCAGACACATGAAATGTTGATGCAAAACAAACTCGATACTACATACATGCGAAAACCTCATCAATCAAGCCCCACCCTGCTGCTTGCAAAATAAACTGAGAGTAGACGCAACATGAGCATTAATATCAGAGACATTGCCTTACTTGGATAACAAGAACTAGCAAGAAAGTTGTACTGATGCTGCATCTGTGCCATATTCTTTTAGATATTTCAACTCAAGATTTTGTTCGTTGCTGAAATCTGAGAGCTAACTCTTTGTGCTCTTGATTGTTGGTATTACTGTAGGGATCCTCCTAATGCAGGTAATGCCATTTCCTTTGGAAATATTACTGCATCGTGGCTGGTTAAGTGCCTACTTTTTTTGTTTGGTTTGAAGGAGAAGAGATATCTGAGAAATATTTGGAGAACAGGAAAAAAGAGCTAAGAATTGGAGAGTATTTTAGAGGATTGTTTGGAACTCCGTGTAAGAGAATTAGGAAAGAAAGATGAGAGAAATAAATGTGTCTGGGGGATGGGATTAATTGTATATCTGAAAGACAAAAGTTGCCCTCATTAAAATACATATACTCCTCAGATAAGCGGGAAAATGAAAATAAGGAAACAGTCTTCCCCTCATATATTTGGGATAGAGGAATTTATGTGGGTCTGATCTCACTCTTACCAACAAGGTTGGTATGTCCTCTCTCCCCAACTACCATCTCCCTAAGATCTCTTCCTTATTTCACTCATACTATACACACATAAACTTTATTGCACAATTCTCACCCTGTTGTCTTAAGCGAAGGAAGTAGAAAAATAAGTAACTTCACAAGCTAAAACAAGTTGATAGGATGAAATTCGTGAGTATAAGATTTTGTTCAATATGCTCACAAAATCTTGAATTTCTTTTATTGAGAAAGGGAATGTATTTTCCTATTGTTTGATATAAAGAGAAGAAAAAAATCCCCATATTCAGAATAAGAGATGATTACATTTATCAAAAGACACTGCTCTCCACATTGTGGTTTCTTTTAGTAGTTTCTTCCACGTTCGAAAGGTTTTAGTTTAAGTACTATGAAAGGTATACATTATGCTAAATCTACCTCTTTTATATTCTCTATCAATGAATGGCCTGAGGCTGCGTTCCGTTTGCCAGGCTGATTTTTTGAAGATCTGATTTGGTCTGATCTGGTCTTATCTGATTGCAGTTTAATTAAAGCTGTTTCTGATCTGAGATGTGGTCTGATGTGGTCTGATCTGATCTGATTATAATAAGAATAAGTAATAAGCAGAAAAAATAAGTTGAACAGAACGCCGCCTGAATCCTGTTAGATTTAATCGGGTTTGTTCACATATAACTGAATGAGTAATGAGTCAATGTTCGGGTCAGTTAGTATGATGTCGGTTAGTGTGTTTTACATTTAATCATGGTAGTCAAAATCGCGAGTTGGATCGCACGATCTTACGATTTTGAGGATTGTCATAGGGTTTCCATTCTGAACCGCGAGAAAGATCGTGGATTAATGTAAAATTGTAAATCGTTTGGATCGGCATGGTGGATCGTAGGATTGTTGGCTCGCCTCGGATCAGCGATGACTGAAATCAGTTTTTCAGTTCCGTAACTCTATTGCCAAGTCAAGCCACTTTGGTTTTTACACTATCTGACCCTTCCGACTATTCTAATTATATGTATTACTGTCTAATTATACATATTAATGTTGAATTAGACATTTACTCACACACAAATACATACAAATCCTATTTTCTTATTGGGCTTAGAGTTTTGTAGTCACAAGTTGCAATTCCTCTAGCTTTAGGTCTCGGCAACCAACGTAAAACTTTGTCGAATCCTCATGACATGGATCAAATACAATATTGCGCTAAAGCTAGGTCGTTGCCCAGAAGCAACGCGGTGTATGACTCAAGTACAGTGACAAATGAGTTGCGCTAAAACTAGGTCGTTGCCAAGAAGCAACGCGGTGTATGGCTCGAGTATAGTGACAAATGAGCTAGGGCCGCTGATTGGTGCTCGGGTGTAGTGAAAAATAAGCAAGGGTTCTCACGTTTAGGTGAACAGATGTGGAAAAATAAGCTAGTTCGCAGAGGTAAAGGTAAAGGTCAAGATAAGTTGCGGTTTGGGACATGGAACATAGGCACTTTGACAGGTAAGTCTATGGAGTTGGTGGATACTATGATACGGAGAAGGATTAATATTATGTGCTTACAGGAAACAAAGTGGGTGGGAGCAAAGGTGAAGAACAGAAATGGAGTTGGTATCATTTTAGATAAACAATGGAAGAAGGACGTGGTCAATGTTCAGGGGGTGGGAGATCGGATCATTGTATTAAAGCTGGTAGTAGAAGGACATGCTCTTCATGTGGTTAGTGCCTACGCACCACAAGTCGGTTCAGAGGAACACCACAAGATAAGATTTTGGGAAGACCTCGAAGGTGTAATACAAGGTATACCATTAGGAGATAAGGTTTTCTTAGGAGGAGATTGGGCATGGCTTTGGGGTAACGAATGCAGAAGGTAAAACCATCTTAGATTTCTCTTCGACCTTCTAGCTTCTTATTGCAAACACTTGTTTTCAGAAGCTAGACGAGCATTTTATAACATATAAGAGTGGGAGGACATGCTCTCAAATCGATTTCTTTCTGCTAAGGAATTCGGATAAAAAAATTTGTACTAATTGCATAATTATTCCGGGAGAGAGTTTGACCACCCAACATAGAGTGCTAGTTATGGATTTTCGTATCCAACGAAAGGTAAAGAGAAGTCGCCAAGAGGGGAACCTAAGGACTAGATGGTGGTAGTTGAAGGGTGATAAGCAAATGGATTTCCAAAGCCATTTAGTAGAAGAAGCAAAATGGGATAGACATGGAACTACAGAAGAGTTATGATATGATATGGCAGATATTATTAGAAAGGTGGCAAAAGAAACCCTTGGAGAAACTAAAGGTATTAATGCAAGAGACAAAGAATCATGTGGAAAGTTGGGAAAGGTATAAGACAGCTAAGACAGAGACAAAAGTGGCTGTAAGTGAAGCAAAAATGAGAGCATTTGAAGGGTTTTACCAGTCTTTGGGTACGAAAGAAGGGGAAAGATGTATTTAGATCGCTGTCAAGGAACCAACTCAACCAAAATCTCAAGCTTGTGGTTGTGGCCGAGGAAATGTTTCTTATATTCTAACACGCCCCCTCACGTGCATGCGTAGTCTTTTTCGAGCCTTGCACGTGAAACCTTAATTTTTTAAAAAACTGGGTGACACTCAGTTTTGAACCCGTGACCTCTTAGTCAACAAGGCTCCGATACCATGTCAAGGAACTAACTCAACCAAAAGCTCAAGCTTGTGGTTGTGGCCTAGAAAATATTTCTTATATTCTAACAATCGCAAAGGGTCGAGAAAGAAAGACGCGAGATTTGGACCAAGTTAAGTGCATTAAAGATAAGAATGGTGAAATTTTGGTTTTCGATGAAAGCATAAACGACTGATGGAAGAGCTACTTCAATGATCTGTTTAATGAGGAGCATGTGAATCGCTCATGCTCCGATCGGCTACACACGAGGGAGGAGGACCAAAACTTCAATTATTATCGAAGAATTCAAGAATTTAAGTTAAGGAAGCCCTAAAACAAATGTAGAATAGCATAGCAGTGGGCTCAGACAACATTCCGATTGAAGTTTGGAAAGGCTGAGGAGGAAAAGGCATTTGGTGGCTAACTAAGCTTTTTAACAAGATTTTAAGATCTAAGAAGATGCTTAACGAATGGAGAAAGAGCTTTTTGGTTCCTATTTACAAGAATAAGGGAGATATTCAAAGTTGTGGAAACTTCACATGGATCAAACTTATGAGTCAAACTTATGGTCGTGTCTAACAAATCCATCTAAATTGGCCTTATTTAAGTCTATTATTGGTGAATGTCCTTGTCCGTAGATGTTTACAAAACATTTTCTCCTTTTACTGGATACTCCGTAATAGTTTAGAAAGAAATTTGGAAACAAAAGTATCATTTACTTGATTAAGTTATCTGTATTTGTGTCCCATACATGCCAGTAACATTTGCAAAGAGAAGGAATTTATTGCTGAAGAAGGCAATTGAGCTTTCTCCCCTTTGTGATGGCGAGGTTGCTTTAATCATCTTCTCCAATAGGGGAATCATCTATGAATTTTGTAGCAGCTTAATGTACTATTTTTTGTATATTTTTACTTATAATTATTTATTTACTCTTGATTATCAAATCAGATCCTGAAATCCAAGAATTTTTTGGTTTTGTTTTGGGGATTCAAAAATTTGATGCATAGATCTTGATGACTGTAGGTTCGCTGTTTTTGACAATGACTTCACCAACCAAGAGAACATGCAGAGGAGCTGGATCTTCTTTGTTTTCAGCGGGAATAAGACTGAAGCAAATGTGCAGTGAAAAGACGCCCACTAATCACTCCGTTTTTTTAATGTTTTTTGGGTGAAAATTAGATTATCTTGGAAGACTTTTCTTTTTCTATTTCCCTGTTTTTCCACCCTCGGGATTCCATTTCTGTTTTTGCCCGGAGACCTATCTGCATCCTGCGACCTTCGAATTGCATAACTTGGATGCAATAATCGTCTGGCTACCATTTTTCATCAGCCAACTGTTTTCCAGGTTCTTCCAGTTTCTCTGATGTTTGCAGCCATGTGAGGCTGGGCATGGGGGCAAATTTCCAAAGGTGAAAATTTAAATGATTTGCACTTTGACCTGAAGATTTATCCTGAACCGATCAGTTAAGCACATGGTCACTATATTATATAATTCATTGGTGTAAGGACCACATTAGCCTTAGAGAAATGTTATGCATACAACTCGTCATATGGCCCACATGTTAGCTTAATACAAACTCACCTTCATTATATAGATAGATATTAATCTTCTCTTCATAATGCTATTACCTATGATAACACTATATTGCTTTTTGAGCTGTTTAGATTTATTATGATTTGCGAGTTTTAATAAACCCTATCATCTTGGGTATGGTTTTTTATATGTCATGACAGGTTGCAGATTCAACAATTAAGGGTTCACTTGAATTTGCTATGTGTCATTACAGGTGAGACCGTGAGAAATTGTTTAACCTTACCTTGGTCTGTTATTTGTTTAAATCTTCATAGTCATTTGTTGTTGCCTACACCCACCATATTCATACCTTTAGGAGTATGTTTGGATAAAGGGCCTATGTTTTTTCATTAATATTTATGCTTTGGTTGACATAAAAGCAAATCTCATTTACATTTTTTACAAAAAAAAAACACTTACATTTCATGGCCTTGCCCTTCACCTACAAATAAATATATAAAATTATATTTCAGAAGCAGACTATAAAAGTTGCCAGATTACAATTTCACAAGACTTAATAATAGCCCTGTTTGAAATACAGTAGTTCAGATCTCTTTTGTTTGACATATGAAATACAATTCTACTTTAATAACAATTCTCACTTTTACCCATAATAGTAGTTAAGAATAATATAGTTCTATCAGTAGCATCCATGTTTACATACTTACTAAAAGGTTTCCTTCTTTCTACAATGATGAAAAAATCGAGAAGTGAATTATCTTTTTCTCTTCTTTGGATTTAGTGCACTAGTATTAACTATTTAAACTAACTTTACTCCATTATAACCTCTATTGTACTGTTACCTTTGTTTAATCCTGGATTTGTTTTTGCAAATTAAAGGGGTTTATTAATTTCTCGAACAAAGATGCCAAGAGTTTACATCAAATGCCAAAGAGACTTTAATGCATGTGGGCAAATCTGTCAAACAAGAAAAAAATAAAGTTCAAGACCTTTTCTTCCTCTTTTTTAGCAAGCAGGTGCTAGGCCGATTCCTACTCTTGGTATGTGATCCCACTGAGGCTTTCAAGGTCTTCAACAAAAGTCCTAGCTTGACCACAACACAAGGAGATGAGGGAATACCACATGAGTGATGTATGTGCCAGACCAATCCCTGTGAAGTTCTCTAGCAAGTTGAGTTGTGCTCAATATCATTTTTATTTTGTGTGAGTGCAAAGCAGATGAAGAATTTCACTAAAGAAGACTCTGTGCACATACTTCTTCATCAGAGCAATGGGTTTTCCACATGGAGTTCAAGGTACAAAGGAGTTACACTGCTCAAATGTGGACGACGAGAGGCTAGATTGGGGCAATTCCTTGGGAAGAAGTAAGATGTTATTTCCTTCATTGTCATCAAGAAATCCTATAGTTTATAAGCTTTTAAGTAATGCATGTTCTTATGGGTTAGCACAACATTTTCCGCAGATATCTACCTTGGGTGGTTTGACGGCGAGAGAGAATCTGTAAGGTCCTAAAATTACAAGTTCATTTATGTTGTATACAAATCCAGCATCTCGACTCAGCATTTGCAGAACGTATTTAACTAGAGTATGACTTTCATTTTGATTAGGGTTATGATAAGGCTGCCATAAAATTGAATGGAAGGGAGGCAGTGACTAATTTTGGACTAAGCTCATATGGATCATCAACAGGTCTTCTTGGCATCTTATGGCAACACCCATATGCTAAAGTTGTAAAGATGCCTATCTATTTCACCGTTTACGTACTGAGGCATTAAATTCTAATCTCATTTCACTCAACTCGCTCAAATTGCACCTTGCACAAATGTTTGTGCCCCTACTCACACCTAAAATTAAATAACAAAATTACAAACATCACTTGCACATAATCCAAGCCCGTGCGAAGCGCGTGGTTAAAAAATAGTGCCTTTGTTCTCCATTTTAGGGGTTTTTTTACAGGAGGTATTCAAACTTTAGATGTAACAAAAAGATATCACATCTTCCGTTTGTAACAAAAATATTTTCCATCTTTCAAAATGTTAACAAAATAGTGTCCCTTAGTTGGAAATGTGATAATCTCGTGTTGGAGTTCCCACATCGGAAAATAAAGATGAGTATCACTTGCATATATTGAAGGGTGAAGCCCTACCTATCAGCTTAAGCTTTTGGGTTAGAATTGTGGATCCCGACTTTATATGCAAGTGGTTAATTTTACCCGACACTCTATCCGTTGTTCTCGGCCCGCCGGAATTTCTACATCTCGTGAGCAAATGATGGGTTGGCATTTCTATTTGCTTTTCTCTATTTTTATTTGTTGTCTATGTGCCTTTTCTTTTTTCATTGCACAAGTGATTTTTATTCTTAGGGTAGCATTTTTTTAAGTTCAGTAAAGAAAAAGGATCCTTTTTCCCTTTTAAGTTTACATATTTGTGTGGTTAATGTCGATTGACAATAATTTAAGTCTTAAAATTAATTTAAATAAAATTGAACACACACTAAAAAAATTATAATTAATTCATTACAAACAAGTTTCTTTTTTTTTTTGTAAAAAATAGTTTTATTAAAAAAATTTACAATAAAGAGGGGATGACGTAGTCCCGATCAAGGTATGCAAATCCAAACATGTACATAAAATAGGAAATCCAAAATTTAAAAAAAAAATAGATTCTTGCTAATTTAAATGTTAAAAAAATGCTACCCCAAAATATTTGCTAATGTAAATATATATTTTTATTTATTGAACATTAAAAAAATGTAGCCCTAAAAATTTTAAGAAAAAAATTGCTCGCACTATGAAGAGAAATGACACCTAGATGATACTCCGTACTCAGGAGCAGAGAAAAGCTAACAGGTAGGGGTGTAAACGGATTTTAATCGGATCGGATGTGCTATTACCAAATCCGTATCCGTTTACTTTTGTCGGATATCGANATGACTTCATATCATAAAAAGATATACACCGTACATATATACACATATTTTTACATGTCTACACATATTTTTATGTGTTTACACATATATTTCGCATATAAAAATGTCTTATACTTTGAGATATCTATAGAGAAACAAAATATAAAAATAAAAAATTAGGAAAGACCATATATAACGGATCGGATACACGGATAAACGGTTATTTAAACGGATGTCAATGCGGAGCGGATTATAAACGGATCGGATGTATGATTACCAAATCCGTATCCGTTTAGCAATTGGATATCCTTAATCGGATACGGATAATAACCGTTTTTAACGGATGCGGATATTTTCTATATAAACGGATACGGATGCGGACGGTAATCGAATTTTCGGTTATCCGTTTACAGCCCTACTAACAGGATTGCCAACACAACATTTGTTTGCCAAATCATAAACAAATCCGCCAAGTGGCACCATTTGTTAGAGTTTTAAGCTAAGAGATGATTTACTCCCTCCGTTTGGAAAAAGTGTTCCTATTTTGACTTTGTGTAAAAATAAGGAAGTATTAAATTGTAGTTGACTTCCAATTTTGCCCTTGATGTGATAGGTAAAAGTAAGATGTGATGGATAGATTATTAGAGATAAAGTATGATGTGATAGGTAAGGTATGAAAAAGTAAGGGTAAAAGTGGTTTTTTAATAGAAAGTGGAAGTATTTTGTTGGAAGTAAAAAAATGAAAGAGGAAGTGTTTTAAAAAACGGAGGGAGTATGTTTTTGTTACAAATGGAAGATGAGATATTTTTTTGACAACGTCCAACCTTGGGATACCTCCCGTGAGAGCACTGGTAATACATGTAACGCATGGTTTTTTCTGCCCCCGGCGTTAAACACCACCTCGTCCCCCGTTAAGCGAGCGTCATCTTCGTTGCATCAAACGTTTGATAGAGTTTCAGGCTCAAAAGAGCCATTGGAATCCCCCACAACGGCTATAATGCCGTTAGTATTTAATTAAAAAAAATTCCTTCTCTATAAATTCATTCTATTTTTTTAAAATTCAACACACACCACAAATACAAATCTCTCTCTCTCTCTTCTTTCTAAAAAAAACAATTATTCAAGTATTTGTTTTTATTTTTAACATGAATCCCTTCGGTTTTAACGTTCCTTCGTCCGGTTTCGAGCCAAACGAGCAAGCGATGTAGACTTTTCAATCTCGTAATCCGTCAATGTTTGATTCTCAAATCTCGGTGAACCTTGAGGACCCAGAGTCGGTTCTGGAGACTCAATTTTAAGCCGTTCACCAAAATAGAAACAACTCAACAACCCCGATGCCGGATCGTCAAAGAAAAGATCCTCCGCCGGAACAAAGCCTCCCTTCAACCTAGACGACTCCGATGACGAAGACCCTATTCCACGGCCGATCGGGAGGAAGAAGGCAAAAATATAATCATTGCCTCGGGTTCTGCAGGACCAGACTCTATTTTCTCTCACGATGATATCGGCCAGACAATGGTTGAACAATTTTATGGGTGTTCAATATTAGAGAAGAAGAGATGGAGAAACGAAGGCAATAGAAGAAAGATGTCGAAATACTGTAAACCGACTTTGATACGTTAACGAACTTCAAACGTATGTTTTACGAAAGACAACAAAACGAGATAAAACCCAAATATAATGTGACTTAGTTTTTTTATTAATGTATTTTTAAATTAAAAGTTCTTTTTTTCACTCAAACATTATACAAATCAAAACATAAAAATTTTATTTTTTGAGGGGGGAAATTAAGAGTATGAGTTTGACTAGATTTAAAAGATGTGTCAAAGCAGTCCATGTGTCACTCTATCATGGGGAGTAAGAGAAAGTAGGTGTATTGAATGAATTAAACACTCCATTTAAAGAGTGACATTGCTCTTTAATATTTTTTTTACCCACTTGCAAAATTTGCTGCACACAACCCCAAAACTAATTAACTTAGAAGCAAAGAGTGTGAAAAGGGAGAGGGACTCATCATATGGATCTCGGAGGAAGTAATAATGGAGGAGGCTTCCATGGCTACCGGAGCAGCAGCATCAGGTTCCCTCACCCCACCTCTGCTCCAGGTATATATGTTCATTCCTTCCTACACACACACACACACATACATATATCTTCATGGGCTATTTTAATTAATTTGTAGAAATTAAATTAAATGATAAGTACATGCATGAAATTAATTGTAGTGGGAAAGATTGTCAAATTAAACCATCTACAGTTGAATGCATAATAAAGAGTAGTTCTTTCATCGATAATCGATGGATGGAGCCATTTAATTATTGTTCCGTTTTCTTGTAGTTGTTTATTGTCATTATAATTTTCTGAATGGATGAATTCAGACCAGACATGATAGTCGATAATAGATATCGCCCAAAACTCATAATTATGGACCGGATTATATTTTTAAAAATTTGTATATACATGACGTCTGGTAATAAATTAAATTAAAAACAGTACTTTTTTAGAGTTGGGAGAAAGGTAGCAGACGACGGCAATTAGGGGTTGGGCGGTTTCGGAAATGGCCTACCAATGAATGGTTGGTTCATTATTTACTTACAAGGTTATTTTTATTTGTTGTTTTATTATTTATTTCCCTTTTTTTATTTCGTAATATTGTGTATAAAATAGTTTGTGATCACATTTCTTATTTTTTAATGTAGTTTTTAGATATATAAAGTATAAATAATTACTCGGGTTCGAAAACAAAAAAAAAAAACAAAAAAGAAAAAGGGGATTGTGCGTTAGAGAAGGGGAGAATGGGGAGATAGATAACAAGTGGCATCCATGCAATAATGCATGCAGTGGGGAGGCCCACCAGCGGTGCCCTACCTCACTCCACCACATGCCACTCATGCAACCCTACTACCCACTTATTAGTTATTACTTCATCACCCTTTTTACGTATATACGGAGTATGTAACTCATAATAATCACCTCCTAATTTTTACTTTTATTTGATAAAAGCTTTCTTGTAAATTCTAGTTTTTTTTAAAACATACTTAGTCTTAAGTACTTAGAATTTTTTATTCCACTGATGTTCGAACCTAGAATTATTGTTTTCAAAACGCTTCTGCCCTAATTTTTGTACATTCCATAAAAGACTTATATCTTATCTAAAATATCTAAAATACCCCGAAAGTAAATAATAGATTTTATTTTAGATATTTTAGGTTGGGAGTGTAAGTGTTTAATGGGGTGTACAAAAAAATTAGGGCGAAAGTGTTTTGTAAAACGGAGTGAGTATATTTAACTTGTATTTTTAATATTACACTAATTTTTACCTATATTGATTTAAAAATAGAGGAATTTACGTGAATAGCACTAAAACATAATGACTTTCCCTAAATAGCACTGCTTGCACTTTTTTCCAAATGTAGCACTTTTAGTCATTATGTATTAGTCATTATTCAAGTAAATGTTTGTCATACTGGTCATTATGGACATTATTAAGTGCTATTTGGAGAATAAAACAATTTAAGTGCTATTTAGGGAAATGACTTAAGTTTTAGTGCTATTTAGGGCAAATATTTCTTAAGAATATCTTCAATCAAATATCGTAAATCGAGCATGGTCTTATTTTGGGTGGGATGGAGTAATTACACTAATTTTTACTTATATTAATTTAAAGTATCTTCAATCAAATATCATAAATCGAATATGACCTTATTTTGGCCTGGTCAGGGAACAGCTGGGTACAACGTAGTATGAGTAGTAATTCAAATTTAGTGAGATCAGCATTGTATTACGGAGTTTGCTTTTTTTGGAAAATGGTACGGTGCCGTATTCGAGATGGTTTAACTGGTCATACAACATGTACCAAAGTTAAGGGTTGCATTGGTTGTAAATACGGACCATCCGACATTTACACCAAAAAAATGTACATCATTTGTATACCACAGTTATGCACAAACATTTTGATGATTTATACCGATACAAGTGTTGGTGTGTTAACAAAAATTTACACGGACACCAAGTGTTGGTGCGTTAACAAAAATTACTTTTACACCAGCACAAAATGTTGGTGCAAACCTGCGGGGTACAAACTGGGGTATAATTGTGGAGTTTGAATTTTTTCCGTTTGCATTAAAAATAAAAATTATATATTAAAAAACTACATCAAAAAATCTATAAAATAAGAGGTGACATGATTATATTACGTTATCAAATGAGTAACGAAAATAGGGAAACAAAGTATATTTAATTTGTGAGTAGAATGTATAACAGTTTGAGCAATAATTAAACCTTATAAAAGTTTATGGAATGAAATAATCGGAGTATAAGTAGTTTAAACACTTGCGTACCACATTTATAAATTTCTGTAATTTGTATATAAAATAAATAAAGAAAATAGATAAATAAAAAGTTTAATTTTATAAATAATAAATGGTCAAATAAAAAGAAACGTGACACTATAAAAAATTAAAATTGAAAAAAAAAATAAACAAAGAAAAACACAAATCATACTCGATCACCTCACCGTAGGTGTGAAGGCAGTGAATTGAAGCAGCATTGGAAATGTGAGTTGTGAAACAAAGTGACCAATGGTCCATCCCAAATTCCCAACGTTCTCACCAATCCTAATTAAGATGCGATTTAGTTTCCACCTTTTCCCATTATTAATTAAAGAGCGGATTTAATTAAATAATACTCCGTACTAAAATATACATTTGTCCTCTTTTCGTAAAAAATTTCGTATTTTAACTTTTTTTTGGCCAAATAGGGACAACATTTGACTACAAATGATGAGAAAAGTATATTTAATTATAATATAGATTCAATATAATTGAGTTCATCACATCTTAGGATATTGTTTTGATAAATCAATTTTTATACTCCGAGTATCATTTATTTATTTAGATCATGTTTAATTTATGTTTAAAGAATGTCACTATTTGACAGAAAAATCAAAGTAGAAAAGATTTTTAAGCCGTAGAGAATCTCTATTTTCCTAATATAGTACTTAATGTTTGAAATCTTTAAATAGTACTCAATTTAATAATGAATTATTTAATATTAGTCTAAAGATACAAAGTTACCCCTCGCTTGGTTCTAAACTGCATTTTAGAACCGGCCTTTCCGGCCCTCTCCCGCCTTTATTGTCATAATTGTCCTTTAATATAGTGGTTTAATTACTATAATTAGGGAATAAAAAGTTTTAGATACTAAATTAGAAAAAAATATTCGATGTCCTACACAACATTTCATGTTTTGACTTTTAAGAGGGGAAAATGTAAAAGTTTTACTAAGGTGAAAAAACGATAATTGAAACAAGTAGGATTCAGGAGTTGTCAAAATGGGTAGGATATTAGAGGTAATTGAGGTAAGTTTAATTTGGTTAGATTTAAGAAAAGTAAAGATAGTTTTGTCCATTTAAAGCAAATTGAAATGTTTTGTAGAACAAGTAAGATGTCAAAGTTGAGAAGTTTTACAAAATGAAGAAAGAATGTTTTAGTACTTTTTAGTGTAAATTTCATATTTGAAAACTTATATTACTCCTTCCATTTCTTTTTAGGCAAATTCTACCATAGACCTAAGGTCCACGGTGTACCTACATAGAGATGAGCAAAAGGACCGATGTGGTCAGACTAGACCGGTCTTTGGAAAAGACTGCTACAGTAAAAGACTAGACTAGACTAGTCTTTTTAAAAACCTGGTCCTAACTAGTCCGATCTTCTTATCAAAATCAAAGACCAAATAAGACCACTAGTCTTAAAGCAAATGTGTATCGGTCCACTAGTCAAAATCCTACTTCGGTCCTAACTATAACTATAATGTATTTTAGTCCACCAACTAGGATGCACGAAGAACAATAATAAGAAAAACAATAAACTCTCGGAATATGATCTTAATGTTGTTTATACTCCCTCTGTCCCATAAAACCTTTCTCCTTTCTTTTTTTATCCGTCCCACAAAACACTTTTCATTTCTATTAAAAAGTCACTTTTACCCCTTACTTTTTCATACCCTAACTATCACATCATACCTTTTTACTAATAATCTATCCATCAAATCATACTTTTACCCATCACATCAAAGGACATTTTTGAAAATTCAATACCAAAATACACTCCCCTTAAATCCATCCTAAAAAGCAAAACTCTCATGTTTCACTGGACGGAGGGAGTATTATCTTAATTCAGCTTGGGTTTACAGAAGAGGTTTTACTACCTATTTATAGTTTACACAGTACGACTTGTGGAAATAGATCATTGTCCGAGTTTCTAGTAAATAATATCTTGAATCAAACTGAACCATTTTCAAAATGGTACGGGACGGGTTTTCAAAAAATAAATGCCGAATATACCAAACCAAACCCTTTCCATTAAAATATTAAATTAATAAATTAATTATACATTTTCATTTGTTATGTTTTAGTAAGATTTTGTCATATTTATTTGGTGTAACTTTAAGATACTTAAAATTATATTTTTATAGTACTTTATTACTCCAAAATACAACTCAAGTTATAATTTTATTTGTTGAAAGATCAAACTATAAGTATGTTTTGTCAAAAATTGTCACTAAATACGGAGTAATACACTACTACAATTTTCTGAGACTAACCCATAAAAGGCATTTTTGAAGATTATTGATTTCGATTTTGGGTTCAACTAGGAAGATGAACAAATGATAGAGGAGTGATCTTTTTAGTTTTGGGTTTAGAGTTTCAAATTTGAGTTTGTGAATGAGTATGAGAGGAGGGAGGAAGCTTAATTGAAGAGAGAGATGAGTGTGAATATGTAGTTTTATTGATGTCCTTAACTGTACGGAAATGTAAACAAAGGATTATTTGTGAAAAATAATACTTGGTCTGTCCCTGAGTATTTGTCCACTTTTGAATTTTGGAACTGTTCATCTAAGCACTTTGACTCATCAACTTATCTCAATGTGTAAGCCTAAAAATAGTCATGTGTGATTTTGTTTGATTTGTCTTAAGATATAGATTATTAATATATAATTTTCATAATTTTTTAATATACAAATTACAAGATAAAATGGATTAAAGAAGTGCATTAGATGGTGTGCAAAAATGAAAGTGGACAAACACTCTGCGACGGATGGAGTATAATAATTAGGAATTAAATTATTGATATTTGATATGGATGGACTAAATATGTAAAATAGGCTATAACTAGGGTTTTTTTTATGAAATTTACTCTAAAATACTCCGTATTCTACAAAAATAAGAAGCAATAACATTCGGTCCTTGTTATAGATTAGAGCAATGTCATGTACCCCACTCCTTTCTTCACCACTCATTTTTATTTTATTTTTATTTTATTTATTTGGAATTTCTTACCAATTTATGTGGACAAGTAGGGGGTGGAGGACATATGGTTGGTGTACCCCTAATATTTTTCTATAGATTATATATTATGAGAAATTTACTTAAATAGCACTAAAACATAATGACTTTTCCTAAATAACACCACATATGTTTTTCTTACCAATGTAGCACTTTTAGTCATTATGCATTAGTCATTATTCAAGAAAATATTTACCATCACTGGACATTATGGATATTATTAAGTGCTATTTAGGGGAAAAAACTGTTTTAATGACATTTGTAGAAATGAATTACTGCGGGGTACCCTAGATTTTGTGAGAAGAACTGTCAGGTCCCATTATTTTTTAAAATGTATTCCGGGGTACCTTAAAATATCAAAAAATCTACTCCGGTGTGACATTCCGTCAATTTCTCCGTTAATCTCTCTTCACCGTTAACTTCTCCTCCTTCCCCATTTTCGATCTTCTTCTTCTTCTCCCTCCTCCGCCTTCGGATCTCTTCCAGCCCTCCACCCTCCCCCTTTTTCTTCTTCTATTTTTGTTTTGTTTTGAATTCTTTTTTCTTCTTATTCTATTATTATTATTTATTAATTATTATTATTATTAAAATTAATTAGTATTTTTACCATTCTAATTTTTAAGAAAAATAGTGGAGTAGCACTTATTATTATAACTTCATATTTATTACTATTTTCTTCTTATTCTATTATTATTATTAATTACTCCATAGTATTTTAATTGTTAATAATAATATTAAAACTAATTATTCGTTTTAGTACTCTTTTTTAAGAAAAATAACAGTAATTGTTATTTAGAAAAATATCACTTATTATAAAAAACACTTATAATTATTAATAGTATTATTTATTAAAATAAATTATTTAGTAATTTTACTACTATAATTTTTTTTTTAAAAAATAATAGTACTTATTATTATTACTTTGTATTAATTATTATTTACTTCTTAATATTTTACTTTTATGCTATTGTTTTAATATATAATAATTATTATTAAAAATTAATGAGTAGTTTTTATTACTCTTTTTTTAAGAAAAATAACACTTATTATCTATAAAAACAAAACTTATTATTTAAAATAAAACCTAATATAATAATAATAATTATAATAATAATAATAATAATACTAATAATAATAATAATAATAGGTAAGAAGAAAAAAGAGTTCAAAAGAAAAAAGAGAAGAGGAGAAAAGAGAAGAAGAAGAAGATCGGAAATGGGAGAAATTGACGGAATGTCATCTTGGAGTAGCTTTTTTGATATTTTAAGGTACTCCGGAATACATTTTTAAAAATAATAGGACCTGGCAGTTCTTCTCACAAAATGTATGTAGGATACCCTGCGGTAGTTTTTCTATTTAGTGCAAATATTTGACTACTACATAGTATGACAAATACTTGGTGCTGTATAACATTCGGTCCTTGTTGGTGTTTACTCATATGCATATGCATGCATGCACTTATACACAGGCATGAAAGCGGCGCCGCTAGAGATGAACACCGCCGGAGTACCTGCAACGTCGCCGGCTCAGCACCACAACCGGGCGGTCTTCAACCACACCCCCGGCGGCACTAACTCCCTGCTCCCCCCAGACGTTGTTGACGGAGAATGCACGGTGCGGGAGCAGGACCGCTTCATGCCGATCGCGAACGTGATCAGAATCATGCGCAAGATCCTGCCCCCGCACGCCAAGATCTCCGACGACGCCAAGGAGACCATCCAGGAGTGCGTGTCCGAGTACATCAGCTTCATCACCGGTGAGGCCAACGAGCGGTGCCAGCGCGAGCAGCGCAAGACCATCACCGCCGAGGACGTCCTCTGGGCCATGAGCAAGCTCGGCTTCGACGACTACATCGAGCCCCTCACGCTCTTCCTCCACCGCTACCGCGAGTGCGACGGCGGCGAGCGGGTCGCCCAGCCGCCGCCGCTCGTGAAGCGGGCAATGGTGGACCCCACCAACGGCGGCTTCCAACCGTTCTACCCGCCGCCGCAGTACCCCGGCGGCCACCACCATGCTTACTTTGGGTATCCGCCGCCGATGAACGGTCACCACCTGCTGCAGAGGGATGAAGCAAATGCCGCCGCCGCCACCTCTTCCCAGCCCGCAGCTGTAGCCAGTATTGAGCCCTTTCCCCACTACAAGTAGTAGGGAATGTGTCGGTGTCTCCCTCAGCTCCGGTCCCAATTTTTTTTAATGAGTTTTACTTTTTCTAATAAAATAAAAACGAATTTTGATTATTAATTAAAATAAAATTGCATTGCATATTAATACAAATCAATTTAAAAGATTTATTTTAGGGAAAGACTTTAAATGATTGTTTTACTATATTAATATGCAATTTAATTTTTATATAATTGATAATTAAAATTTATTTAATTTTATTTGAAAAAGTTAAACTATACAAAAAAAAATATGGGACGAATGGAGTAATTAATTAAGTTATTAATGTGATATTTTATTTATCCAATGATGAACCCCAAATTGGACTTGTCTCTCTACCCGATTTATTATTTATGGAATTATGGAGTAGTTCGTGATTACTAATTAGGTTTTCTATAAAATAAATTACAACAATTATTCGCCTTCTTTACTGTACAAAATAAATTACAACAATTATTCGACTTGTTATTAATGGAGTAGTTCGTGATTACTAATCAGAGGTAGAAACCGTCAATGTTGTGAACAAAGCATTGTAGGTAACTCAATTGAAGACAATGTCATTCGATGCCAGTCACGCCACCCAAAGTGAGTGGATTTGTAACACCCTGACCCGTGTGACTCAACTACATGGACCGGCAGATCGAGTTGCTACTAAATTGGCATCCAAATACAATAATTTTCAAAATAATTTAAAACATTATTTATAAATCCATTAAAGTTAATCAAAATGGTGCGGAAGCTTTAATACTTAATTCAAACACAACTTTGGGTTCTTTGCCCGAAAATATAACTTAATTCAAACTTAGATATTAAACTAATTAAATAAATCCTTCAGCCAGCATCCATCCATCTCCTCGCCCTCGCTTCCCTCCTGAATTATTTCCTTATTCATCATTCCTGTTACTTATGTGTAGCAAAGAGGAAAAAGAGCTACACGCTCACCATTGAAGCTAAGTGAGAAATATCTAACGTTCCGAATACGCATATAGATGAATGCATTTTAGCTCATAATTCCATACAATATCATGCACACAAGTACAACGTAACATTAATAATATCACATAACAGTCATCAAATAATAACAACAATGTTATAACAATCATAAGTCAACAGATTCATACAGTTCAGCTAGGTTCGTAGCCTATCTGTATTCAGATTCATAATTTCATATTTCTAAAATCATACAAGATCACAACAGATGAGATAAACATTTATAATCAATAATTAGCGGTCTAGTGTCGTGTGTAAATATCATTCACTTAATGTCATGGAGCACAAAAGATCATGGAATCAATGTGGAATTCGAACAAAAACAAACAAACAAAGAAGTGGGCAACTGAGGTTGACACGGTACCTTGGTACCGCCACGCGGTAGGATTGTAAATTAAGCGAATATTTTTTGTTTGATTCGTGATTCGTGTTCAAATTTGGTGATTCGTGTTCCATTTTTTTGAATCCGAATACGAATCTGAATAAATATATGAATCCTTATCGAATACAAATAGGAATCAAGGGTATTCGATTCACGAGTTTGACAAATATAGTCGGAATAAAAACTTAATAATACAAATTATATATATAATTGAGTTTATAATTTTTTCTAATAGCTAATAAATAGTTTGAATGGTTGTAAAGTATTTTAAAATCTAAATGAATTGATATTTTTAAACAAATCAAATTTTTAAACGAACCGAATATGCATCTTAAAAAATATTCGAATTTGAATATCACCTTATCTTAACGAATACAAATATTATTCATGCATATTCGATTCAGTTCGTTTAAAACCCTACTGGGTGGTACCTAATACTCCCTCCGTCTCTAAATATTTTCCACATTTGTATTCCCGAGACAAAATATCAAGTTTTTTCAATTCATTTTATTTACATATTGGTATAAAAATAAAGAATAAAATTTACATATCAAAAAACTACATTAAAAGTTTTTCGAAATAAGAGGTGTCAAGAATATTTTATTTTATCAAATAACCAATGAAAACGTACAAATAAACAAAAGTTCTCGCGACTGCTGAAAAAGCAAACGTTGCAAATAATTTGGGATGGAGGGAGTATAAGTATTGGGGCTCTGATAACCCCAACTGTCCAGGCGCAAGTACCGTCATAAAAAATTAGCCTGTGGCGGTAGCCGGATACCGTTAGGCGGTACTGAGCTACCGTCTAATTTTAACTATCGTGGGAAGCTTACGCCTGAGGCGGTAGCCGGCTACTGTATAGACGGTATCGTGCTACCGTCTGACGTTGGGAAAAGTTTCAGAACACGCGTACGATCCAATTTTCGATCTATTCAGTATCCATAACATTTGTAGAGATTATTAACATACAAACCACACAAATTAGAGTAATAAAACATACCTAGCTTTCCTCGATCAATTCATTCCAATAACATCGTATAATTTTAATAAATCATAATTAACAATAGAATCAAATAAATTACATAACCAATCATTGGAAACTACGAACGTAAATTTTAAACCTATACATGAATAATCTAGCTTTAGATGTCCACGTACTCATCTTAATAGATTGAAAGATTTAGAATAGGCGACCTAACAAATTGAGTCAACAACAAAATAATCTGCCGCGATTATTGGTGGTGACGAACAAACAACAGCAACAATGACATCAAACTATCAAGAGCTCGGCTCTGCTTCTGCGCTTTTGCCCTTCTCTTGCGGCATTAATGCTTGGTATTTGTTCTTGGCATTTACTACTTCTCTCGAAGAGTATTTGTCAAGTTTTGACTTTTTCTGTCAACTGTTTTTAACCTTTGACCTATAATTAAATAAAATATATATTATAGAATAAAGAGATAAAATAATACTTTAAAAAGTTTCATATAATAAATCTAATAAAACTATTTTCGTATCAATATCTAATTTGAAGTCAAAGTTTTAATAATAACATGTTTTAAATAATGATCATGAACGATTAAGACTATCTAAAAGAACTCTAAGATAGACCCCATATGACTTAATTTGTTTGGTCCTTGCAGGTATGATGTCTGGTGGCCTGGGTAAAGAGATGAGTACGAGATCTACCAAACTAGAGGATAACTCGTTTGTGGATACCACCCATCCGACACTGAGTAGTCTGTTGTTCGGTAATTTGAGCGTGACCTATAAGACTTGTAGAATAGGTCATGATTTTGTGTTCTGCCTTAAACTAAGTATAGTTTAAGAGCGCGCTTTGTGATCAATATGAATTTGGCCTTAGACTAAGAATAGTTTAAGAGCACTATTATGATTTAGCCTTAAACTACGAATAGTTTAAGAACAATGTTGACATTATGAATACTGAATATTAAACGTAATATTATGTGCATGATATCAAATGACTTGATTATGAATTCAGATTAAATTTATATGGATATTCGATGCATTAGATATCCTAATTCAGTTTCAACACTGACCCTGTAACATATTTTATTTAGTACACGTAGGTAAACAAAATAAAGAATGATGTGATTGATCTTGGCGGTAGATGGGGACGCGAGATGTCATATGGATGTGTGATGGTTTTGAACTGTTCAATGATTATTTCAAAAATGAATTATTGATTGTGATGTAAAACTATTTATTAAGCTTCCACAATTTGATGAACTTCGTTACAGTTTCTAAATATTTTATGATAATGAAATAAAGTTTCAATTGTTGACATGTTTTAAATTTTTACGCTACCAAGTTAATACTTAAGTCTGAAAGGTGCTGCAGACCTAGATGGATTTTGGGTGTTACACATAGGCTATATATAAAGTGTCATTGGAATCTATACGTAGGCAAAAATATTAGATGTGTTTCTGGATTGACCTGCTATGAGAATACTATATGGGTATTATGATAATGTGTTAGTATTATTCTCATGCGACCTTTACTATAACTATCCTTCAACATGAAGTCATTACAATCTTTGGTATGTTAAATTGCATACTTTAAATTTGTTCCTTCCGATGCTTGTTCACTCGTCACGACCAATTTCGAACAGTGAACAAACATGCCAGAGCGGGATGCCTAGTCTACATTGTTAAGACACGAAATCCAAAACAATAGATATTGAGTGGTCCCTGGGTTAGACTTAAATAAGTTAAGGTTAATGGATGAATAACCTAGAGGCACATGGTTAGGCTAATAAATAAAATCAAGTTCATCTAGCCAAATTTGTAAAGTATTACAATTAGAAATATAGATCCTACATGAAATAATTTAACTATAGGGAAAGATGCAAAGCACAACTATAGTTAGATGGAATTAGGCCGGATCTAGACCCAATATGTTATTATAGCCTAGCAAACCAAGGATTGTAATTGGATTGCAATTAGAAACATTTCCTACCTAATTAGTTTAACTGTTGGGCAAGATGCAAAGTACAACTGTAATTAATTGTAATATGGACCTTGTCCACTAAGATATCTTTTGAAAGAAAAGCACGAATCAACATGTTACGTACTTGAGGGTAGTTGATTTGTTAAAATAGCGGGATAGTTTTTAATTAAAGACCCAATAAATTATCTGTAGATGATCGATCACTAATGCCAACCATAGTCTTACTCTTGGCACAATTCTCGACAAAGACAAGTTGACTGGATGTAACTTCTTATATTGGAAACGAAACCAGATTATAGTTCTTCAACTTGAGAAGAAAGAATATGTGCTCGAATGATTCCACCGGCCTTTATCGGCAATGCTTTTAGAGCAACTTAGGATGCTTATGGGAAGCACATTGATGATGGCATAAGGTGACATGTTTGATGATAGCTACAATGACTTCAGACCTTTCCAAAATATTATGACAAAATATTATGATAGTATCAAGGGAAAGCTAGGCATTAGAGGTTCCAAATCTCTAAGGCACTCTTTAGTTTCAAGTTGTCTGTTGAAAACCCAGTCGGTCCATATATTCTCAAGATGACTGGCTATGTCGAGACTCTTGAGAAGTTGGGTTTCGCACTTAGACCTAAACTCTCAACTAATGTGATTCTGTAATCGTTGCTAGAGTCATATAAGCAGTTTGTGGTTAATTACGAAATGCATGAGCTTGATAAACCAATGCCAGAACTTTTGAAGATGCTGCTAACTACTGAGGAGAGCCTTACGAAAGGAAAGGTGAATTTCGTCC